TCAGTATACTCTGGGTTGTTGTTATATATTATATTAATATTTGTATATTACAGTTACATGTATATATAATTTTCATCCATCTGTATATCATTCTATTCTTATACTTAATTCAATCACTGACCTAAAAAATAAATTAACAAGTAGTTTCTGGTTGTAGTAAGAAAACCAGGACGAATTCAAACAGAAAGATTTTGAAAGCAGAGAAAACTGTGCACCTTATAATCAGCATGAGTTTAAAAATTCAGTCACGGAACCGCGATGTCGCGGGTGTGTTCTAGTTTCCTTTAAATTATCGAATTTGATTGGTCTGCACGAGAGGATGACATGAAAAAAAAATGTCTCCTGCTGAGCCATGGGAGAGAGTAAATTATCTCTATCGTAATAGCCAATCAAAATCTGGCATTTTAACGTGAGGTATAATATTAAAGAATATCAAAACCAAATAACGCCTAAATAGAATAACCAAAATCACTTTAGATCAACTTAACCAGAGGAAGTTACAACCTTTGTTTTAGTACAATTATATTATTAATTTTAATACTAAAGTAAAATTTTAATTACAAATTATCATTCATATCGAGCCAGCGCCAATGCACCGGTTACTAGGCGGATGGTTCCTTTTGGAGATTGGTAATCCACAAACTAAGGTTTCAATTCCCGCATGCAAATTTGACCGTAGATGATTTGGCTATTATTTTAAGGTCCTTTTTGATCATATAGATATTCAACTGTTTCGCTTGTTATACATCATTGGCTTTCAAATATCTAGCTTTGAGCGTTCCTGATGAAGGCTAATCCAGAAAAGCGCTCCAGACGCATGAAAAGTCTAAAGTTTTGCTTTCATTTCTTCAGTGGCAACGACCCAATGATAGTAAAAAGTGTGTTGCTCGTGCTGTGTCGAGGCTGAATACATTTTACAGTTATGAGTTTTTTGCAAGTGAGAGAGCTGTCTACCAATAGATTTTAATACTATATCATTTGGAGTCTGGTGGATAGTTGCCTCATTTGCAATCATACCTCATCTCCTAATTGTATTATGATACGCACGCCACGACACGTGCTTCTGGTAAAAAATAATAATCTTCGCTCAAGACTACACGTTTGGGGAGATACACACGTAAAACAATAATCTTCGCTCAAGACTACACGTTTGGGGAGATACACACGTAAAACAATAATCTTCGCTCAAGACTACACGTTTGGGGAGATACACACTTAAAATGATACTTCACGTTTGGGGAGATACACACGTAAGATAATAATCTTCGCTCAAGACTTCACGTTTGGGGAGATAAAAACACGTAAAATAATAATCTTCGCTCAAGACCAAACGTTTGTGGAGATAAACACGTAAAATAATAATCTTCGCTCAAGACTACACGTTTGGGGAGATACACATGTAAAATAATAATCTTCGCTCAAGACTACACGTTTGGGGAGATACACACGTAAAATAATAATCTTCGCGCAAGACTACACGTTTGGGGAGATAAACACGTAAAATAATAATCTTCGCTCAAGACCACACGTTTGGGGAGATACACACGTAAAATAATAATCTTCGCTCAAGACTACACGTTTGGGGAGATAAACACGAAAAACATTTAAGACCATTAGTGCCATAATAAGTGGCTAGGCTATAAGAGAACATTAAAACTGTTTACTAGGTTGTGCAAATGCGGTTTTAAAACTATTTGAATAGCACAATAGTTTGCCTGTATTATATACGCTACTTATCCAATGAATTTAAAGTCAAAGACAAATGTGAGAATATGCTTTTAAAACATTACCCTTAGCAATCACAGATACCACAAAATAAACAGTAAAGACAATATTACAATATAAGTTTTAACTTTCTAAGGAGTACGATGACTTTGACACAGAATTTGTTTTTGAGAACAAGGGATTTTGATATCAATCAATTTTATAACTACGCGTGTGAATTTTAAATTAACCTTTGTTTTCGTTGTCATTTAATTTGCTTACCTAAGCACACAATTTTTTTGTGCTAATACGACACTCTTCTTAGCACAAAGTTAATGAACAAACACTAAGAATATAAAATCCCGACAAAAAATTCGGAAAAATTTATAAGTTCTATATCAAAGGATGAATTCATCCAATAAAGTCGATCATTTTGTTTCCTGAAAGAGATTATAACCGAACTAATTAGACAATCTTATGGCTTCATTTCTACCATTGTAAGAAAGTTTACTCTCGTGCTTGGATATGTACCTTTCAGTACAATGCGTTATAAATAGCAATAAATAAAAAAGATAATCTATAAATATATTTTATAAGGACAATTTTGAGGGTCTTATTTGCAAATAGACTTAATAATTGAGTTAGCATAGTTGGGTTAAAATCTAGTTGTTAAATAGTCGAACAAACACTACTGACGGTATAATTTCTAGCTATGAAGAAAAATGCAGAAATGCGCAAAATACTTTACTTTACAATAGAGGGGCGACAGACACCAAAACGGATACTTAAACTCGCAATCAATTATAGTATAAGTTCTAATCTGGTATTAAAATCTTTAAAAGGAGTGAAACCTCCAAAGAAGATAATTTTCATTATGTAAATGTTCCAAATTACTAGTAACGTAATGTAACTTTACACCTGCCAAAGCCAGTGACTAATTTCATGGAGAAACCATGATGCACTCTTGTACACTAATTTGAAACAATTTGCATTCAGAAGTAAACGATTGCAAATTGTTAAAACAGTAAAAGATAAATGTTATAATTTTGTTTTTATGAGTACATACAGTATCTGAATACTTTGTTTGTTGAATCAATTTCGGTAAATGATGATACAATTTATGAGAATATTATTTATTTGTGTAGATAATGTTCTTATTTATGTATATATTTATCTGAATTGTTTGTTCAGGGCGACTAATTTCACTATTTATTTGTCTATTTGATACAACAGTGAATGTTAAATGTATACAAATATACTTAAAAATAATCCTAATAATAAGTAGTGAAGGGTACTGTCACGTGGAACTTCATATTAAAGGATTATCAGAGAAATATATCAAGAATGAGTATGATTTCGATAGTGTATGATACAAATGCTTAAAATTTAACTTGAAAAAAAAGCAACACGTTTATCAAAAAAAAAAAAATACGACAGAAAGAAAAACACTACACATAAAACTAAAGGCTGATGAGCAACACAAATACCACCAAAACCTGGAAGATCTCAGGTGTTTCTGAAGGGTATTAAAGCAGATTCTGCTCTATTAGAGGCACCAGTCGTGTTGCTCATGGCCATTTGATATTCGATGATGCACAAAAGAGGTGGAAGATACCAAGGGTACATTCAAAACTCAAGAGTCAAAGATAAACTGACAACGCGAAGACAAAAAACAAATGATGACAAAAAGACAAATAAAGGCGACAGTAGTTTGTCGATGTTCAAATCTCGTATAAATCGATTAAAAAGAGACAAATAAAGGTAACAAATAAAAACTTAGGGAATCGCATGAAATCCAAAAAGGAGCGAGATATAGTACGTCGACAGGGTAAACAAGTCCATCAAATACTACATAGAAACTAAAGACTGAGCAAACACGAACACCACTCAAACTAGAGTTGATTTCAGGTGCTCCAAAAGGATACATATTCTTCTTAACTAGTGACATCCGTCAGGTTGCTAATGGTAAGAACAATATTCGGTGATAAATATCATTCGTTGAAGTCACAGTCGATGAACAAAGGGCGGGAATGTGGTTACGACAATGAGGACATATCCGTAGTCATCTGTTACACAGATATTCCAAGACGGTCAACCAACACGTAATAAAGTCCTTTAAATTTCCGAAGGAATTACTTCAATTTTACCACTAAGTATCCTTGGTTGAATAGCTTCCTTGTAAGCAACAATCTTCTATCAAGGAAATCATATTAAGGAACGGAAGCTCTGAAATGTTATATCAACTGACATACTCCATATGCAGTGCAGACGTTGTTAGAATTTTGCTACATAGTAATGGAAAGTTCACAACTGGGAAGCTGAAATCATCCCTTTTGTCGGAATTTTTTTTTTCAAGTAAGTAAACCCTTATTGTCAAAATTCAATTGTTGGTTGAAATTACAAAGGGACCTTAAATAGACTTATCATTGTTCAGAATTTCCTCTTAAGTTAGTGTCGAGAAAGCATTTGTTGAGTAAACAAATGAATTATCAATACCTATATCCTTTATGTAGCAGTTTATGATATGTGATTTACAAACAAAAAACTGACTTACTTCCTAAAACAAAACATTTGTTTTGTCCTCGGACACTTTCTTCGAACTATCCCTTCACTGTAAATCTACAGTGCACAACTAATTAACTCAAGCACAATCTTAATAACTCAAGGTCACATCAAAGATAACTTGCAGTTTCAATTTACAGCTTTAGTAGACATTTACCTTCTTGAACATAATCTTAGATCTAAATGTTTTGTTGATAGTTTTAGAAATAATTAAAAAAAAACTAAGGTTCCAACTCACTCAGGTTAAGTTGACTTTAAATGGATTCGGTTAATGTGCACTATTCTGTAATGTCACTTTTGGCCATATGACTTTTCATGTGTTTATGTACTTAAACATGTATATCCTTTGCTTTCAGCGGTTTGGTATGAGCTTTCTTTTTTTTACCGTTATGGAATATCTGTTTCACAGATGACAACGGAAATGTTCCAATTGTCGTAACTACAATATGTCCGCTTTCCCCCGAATGTGACCTACCGAATTATATTTATCACCGGGTACTAACATGGGCAACACGACGGTTGCCTTATAAATCATTAAACTTTTTGACATTTTTTCATTTTTATCTATCATATGTCGATTTATGAGCTTTGCATACTGTAAAAACACGTGTCTATGTTTGGAGACTGTCTCCTATTGTTTCTGTGTTAATATCCCTTTTACGTTTACCCAATATCTATTTCATAAAATGTTACAAAAGTGTGTCACATTAACATCAAGAACAAAATGTAATCCATCATCTTCTATCATTACTTTATTTTGTTTTTATTTAAAGAAACAACTATGGCGTGACATGTTCAAGTAAAAAAAAATGTGGTCTACATCATATTTGAAATCTAAGCACGTCGAATTGACGCATACCCATATCACCTTTTATTTATATTTATTACATTAAACTGTACAAGAAAGCTCGACCGTTTTCTCTGTTACAAACTAGTAAATGTTTTGTAGATTTGTCATAATACACCGCTGATGGTAAAATAATCCCTTGCTTGTCATCCAACAGTTTTCGGGTATTTCCACCATCACATGAGATTGCTACAATTTGATTACTATCGGTCTCTGCCAGAAATACATTGCCGCATGCATCAGCAGAAATAGCTTGGCTGATCTGCAACAGAGGGGATGTCAACCGCCAGACCAATATCCCCGACATATAACAACACAAAGAATTGGATTTTAAATCCGCACAGTATAAGCGATCACCACCGGAAGTGATTACAAATGACTGTTTAACTGGCAATTCTAATGAGGTAATAGTTTGTTTCGTTAAATCAATTTCTTGTATTCCATGTCCGTTCACAAGAACAAGTAGTTTTCCATTAACAAGGGTGATTCCGGAACAAAATCCTTTCAAATTCATTCGGCTTTCTACTTTCTTATTTCCTATGTTTATTATTTCAATATACTTTGCCATTCCATAGGACACAGCAATTTTTTCAGAATCTATGGGTTCAATATCAAACGGTCTATGAGAGACTATAATATCAAATACATGATTGCCGTCATTTCCTATCACAACAAGTCGTTGGTTGTTTTCATCGGCAAATATAAGTTGTTTATTTGGCAGTATAGCGCAACTTCGGATGTAACAACACTTCTGACCAGCTTTTACATTCAGACATTTTACAGACCACAGTTTCATGTCATCAATTGCACGGTTATTTGATTGATTAGCCATTTTTTTCTAAAAAAAACAAACCCGAAACTATATAAGTTTATATAAATACATCATACTAAACATGCAAATAATAAATTTAGAATACCAAGCACCTTTTCAACGTTTAAAGGGGCACTAGCTGTCAAATTCATGTTCACCGATTTGACTCAAATTCTCATATTAGATTTATAACAATGTAAAACATTTATCCAAATTATAAAAAGTCTGAAATAAACAATTTACAGGGCATGGGCTCGATAATGTGTAGCTTCGTTTCGTGTGTATTTTAGTCTAGAATCCATCTAATTAACTATCGAGATGACCCCGAAAACAACCGATGGTCACATAACACGATATAAACATAAACATAAATATAAATAGATATATGAACCTCGTGCAAATGGATTTTTCTATGTCTGTTTGATTTCAATTTTAAGGTTTAAAAAATAAGTTAATTTTCGATTTTACCTGTATAAGAATGATTTTTTGTGGATCGAATTAGTCAATCAAATGATTTACCTGTGTTTCACTTTAAATGTTGTCATTCTTTTCTTTTAATAGACGTGTTAGGAAAGGGGTTTAAATACTGCGCTGATGTTAAATACCAATACCGATACAAGATTTAAGTGTGGACTTTCTCAAAATGCAATTCGGCACTGAAAAGTATCCAGGCGTCGTATAATAGTTTACATTAGTGGTATGCTTGATACAACGTGAGGCGAACAGTTAACGTCGACTTCAAAAAAGACGTGCATTGGCCTTACGTAGATCTTCATACATTCATACATTAAGTTGTATTTGTTTGATTTAAGAGTGCAAAACAAAACTTAATATAAATATATGTAAGAGTTAAGAATGGGAATGGGAATGACGGATTTTACGGCCACAAGTCCAAATATATATATATTAAGCAATATGATTAGAATATGTTTAATAGTTAAATAACTCAGTTTGTCTCTCCACAATAGATATGTCCTATTTCCTTTGCAAAATATAGTTGGCTGAAACAAATCAGTACTAATCTGAACTCATCGTTATATCTATATATAAAAAAGAAAATAAAAAATGGACACAAGTGGATACAGTGTTGTTTCTACATAAAACTTTAAGAAGCAGGGGGCTAAAGTAGAAGGTTGTCTTGCTGCGCATCGTTTTAATGTTCAAGAAAACCACTTTGCATGAGCTATATGTGATTCTTATTGTCTACTACTTTCTGGGTAGGAATGCAATGAATGGACAGAAGGACGACAGAACGGACGGATGGACCAATTCACCCATCACTATATACCGTCCAATTTAGAAAGCGGAGTGTATAGTGAATCTAAGGCAAAACAAAATGAAGCAAATCGAAAAAAAAAATGCCCGACATATAATTTAGTAGACTTTGTTTTGTAAGAGGTGAAAATGAATATTCCATTTCAAAATAATCTCCTGACCCAAAGATACTAACATTAACTTCTTCATATGAAAGTTTAACGCCACTTTCAACAATATCTCAATTTAATCGTGGTGTTCTGTTTTGTTGGTGGAGGAAGCCGTGGTAACAAGAAAAATAAACCAACTTCCGACCCTTCACCGAAACTTAAATTTAACATGCTTGATAATGTCCAAACGTTGTAATCTTTTAATACTTTAAATTATTCGATAACCTCTCTTTTCCGAAAAACTAACTGACGAAAGTTGATAGAAGGAAAATGTCAGGGCAAAATTTTTTATGTGAATAAGAATTAATTCATTTAACATTATATAAATTGTCAGTGACCTTTCTAGATAAAATAAAAATATAAAGATAATAAAATTGAAAACGCTTTTGTTTTAGTCTTTTTTTTTAATTGTCAAGTACACAAATTTATAGTTTGGTTTATTTTTAGAATTTTACGCTACTGTGTAACACATTTCTCTATTCTAGAAAATGATATAAAAAAAAATAAGGAGATGCGGTATGATTGCGAAAATAGACAACTATCTACCAGAGACCAAACGTAAATGTTTGCAACTATAGATCACCGTATGACAGACCCCCAACACGGAGCAAAACCATGCCCGCATATAAAAGCTAACAAAGGCCCCGACATGACAATTATTTTTTTAAATAAATTTCAAATAAACGAACGTTTTGAACAAAGATTGATATAGAGTAAAAAATCGGATTCGAATGTGATTTGATTCCTGTGTTTTTTTCTATTCATTTATTTTAATCACTTTGTAGATTTTCCTTGTAGTCGTTCGACAAAATAGTAAGAAATGGGGGAACAACGATCTTAAACTTAATCGATCCCTACTATGACACAAAATAAGAATAATGTTCGTGTTGTTTTGATGGATCCTCGTCCGTGTATTGCGGAATAAATTGTTACTATTTTATTGTTTAAAAATCATCTCAGCATTATCAAACAAACCCATACAGGTAACTATAATGAATGATTATCTGTGTTTTTTTAGATGGTCCCCACCATAGCCTGTAGTTGTATTGGTATATAACATCAGCGTCAAAATCGTATTGACTTTCCTAACACGTCTAATAACCTAACACGCATCAATCATGCATAATCCATATATAGCTAAGGGGTTAAATTGAAGTTCACATGAATACGGATTCAATGAGGTCGAATTATTCACTTGCAAGTGAATAATTCATCATCGATGTTTCTTAGCTTATTTTGACAAAATTTAACCATACTGGCTGCTATTAGCGAATTATTATTTCACTATTTCACTTTCACTAATGATTGCACAAAAAAATCATAATTTAAATTTTTAATGTATCTCGTAGCTAGTGCCCCTTTAAACATTTGGAATAATATGGACACATAATCTTCTCCCTTAAATCATCTACCTCATTGTGCTTATATTCACGTATAACGTGATAAGCTTCTTCATGACCAGCCCAACTTGGCAAATCGAATAAATTCTCTCATTTCTCGACCGATTTCTGCATCTCCCTGTTTCGATAGGAAATGAACATAGGTATATTCTGTTCATTTCTGATCAGAAGCAAATAAAAGATTTAAATAATTATGTGTAAATGACTTACATGTAGCTTTTAAAATTCGTCGAGTTATATGGCAACGATATACTTTGTGTAAGTATTGTATTTACAATACAAAATCTATGATCTATGATATGGCGTGTTGCACCTGAAAGACTTTAAAAAAAGTGAAATATATTATATTATTGGATTCATTTACATATATCTCAACACAGGTTTAGATAAACTTCATAAATCTTATTCTCTACCGTTTGAAATTTAAATTGAAAATTTTAAGTGAATTAAATGGTTAGTAATTCGTTTACATTTCTGTAATCAATAACTGCACTAGTCTTTTGAAATATATTTACGGATCACTTCATAATTTTTAACTTGTCAGTTTTATGACAATCAGATTAGTATGAAGAGATACTTGTCATTTGATGTTCCGTTTATTTATGAAATTATCTATTATAAATACTTTCTAATAATAATGACTATGCGCATTTTTATGTTTTTTATAAAAAAGAAAAAAAAAAGAAAAGTTACGTTTTATATACATACCGGTAACATAATTTTAAAAATTATATCAATCGTGATTATAAAAGGCAAAAAATGGCAACATTCAACACAAAAATCAATTCTAACGCATTGTTTTGCCAAAAAAAAAAAGAGCTCTAATCATTTAACACTGTTCCATTATAAAATGTGTGTTCCGTTTATTATTTTTTTTTACATTATATGATTTTTTCATAAAAAAAAAAATTAATACTTGCAAGTCTACATACTAGCTTCTTGAAACTTTTGTAAAATGCGTTGTGTATTATGTTTTTTTATCGACTGATCCGTTTACTTACGGCAGTTAAAAATACTATTTGTCGTCATCGGGAAGGAAATATCGCTGTAGCAGTTATCGTTCTTTATACTCAAAATTTAAGACTTGTCCTTTTCGACATTGTTTCTTTAGAGTATTAGTAAATACCGTAAGGTTTAATGCACGATGAACATTAAATAATTTACATAAATGTCTGTTAAATTTACTAAATCAAATTTATTTCCTTTCTACGTTTTTTTTAATAAAGGAATCGGCGGAATATTTTTTATTAGATATGATTGAAATATCTTCAAAATGAAGTGGGCAGGATAATGACAAAAAGGGCACTAATGTGACCCCGAAAAAGAATAGATTTATATACGTTGGGAGGGGGCACTGTACGTGAACCCAGCGGATAATTATTTATTAATCATGATTCAAAGTTTATTTGAACGGGGAACAGTTGCATGCTATTAGTACAAAGAATCTAGAACTCTTCAGGAACAAAAAGTGCAGTTTTAAACGAATTTAAGAAATTTGAGCTGATGTTGATTCATTATCTTTTATAGATTTTAGACATAATCGGTGAAAATCCCCATTTGATTAATTAGATTTTTACACGTTTTGCTGGCGAAATATTGCAAAATGATCATTAAGATCTTATAATTAGTTTCATCTTGCGCCATATGTGCTGCTCGGATGCTTTTCAAAGCATCAAAATGACAAAAGAAATTGAAAATTCTGAACAATATTGGTTTATCTAATCCTGTATGTATTGTGTCATTGAAAGTTTTTGATTCAATTGGGGATTACTTTTAGTAGTAATTTCTTAAAATTATATCAGTCATTAGTTTTTTTGGTTTATTTTCTGTGTACATAATTTTCAGTAATTACAGATTTTGTTAGAATTTGCTGGTGCTTACATATTTTGATATGAATGGTTTAAGTGAAAAGGTACTGGCATACTGTTTAGACAGCTGCCTTGCTGAAGACTCAACGCTGACTTCTAGATGTCAGTTTTTTGTTATTTGTATCGTTGGTTCTCTGTCTCATTGACGTTATACAACACCCCCTTTCTTCATATGTCACAATAAAGAAACAAGAAGAATTGTTATATGTTACTACATAGCTATACGAATATAAAAGTTTGTACAATATTTTAAAAGAGTTTCTTGATAAGAACAGATTCACGTTCGATGCGTTCCCATGTATTAAAAATGTCAAAACGACATTACGTACGGTGACCTATATAGCTGTTTATTTCATCGTCCTTTTGATATATTGTGATAGTTGCCTCATTAGCAATCATACAACATTGCCTTATTTGTTATATAAATCCAAAGGACTCGTTAATACAACGCACAAAAGAAAATAAGTGGCAACATCGAATTATAATTGCTGTAGTACAATGTAGCTGACACGGATGTCATAAGCACTGAACACAATAGCAATCAAAACAGTGGGATACTGTTAAGTCAACAACAAGTAAAAAAATTGGTTAATTTGAAAGATAATGATGTCTAAATAACAAAAGATCCCTAGAACATAGATTTCAATTTGTGGTATTGTTTTAATATCTTTTTACGAATAGTTCCAAAGAAAAAAAAATATGTATGCTAACTAAATTGTCGGCAGATAAAAACTTATGTATTGACAATACGTATTGTTTAGACTATATATACCACTGTCTTAGAACTTGTTTTTCAGAAGTACGTACTGTTTTAAGGTTATCAGTGATCATTTCAGTCAAATATAGGGAAAAAACAACACTTTATTATGATATGTAATACCTCCATATTCATACATAAAAAAGGTCAACGGATTTAGCATGGTCGGTAGTAACAGTAATAAAATAAAAAATACTGTTCTTGTTTCTTAATAGTTATCTGCATTTTCTTTTATCAATCTGAATTTGCTTAAAACTTTACTCCCCCGAAAAATAAGATGATAAAAAACATCCCACATTTTTTTTTCTTTTCCTTTTCTTGTAGATTGATAATGATATCTTTTCTCTTAATGATCATGTTGAAATGTTATAAGCGCACAAAACTATGAACTATGACCAATGCGAAGCGGTCAGTTTTCCTATTGTTTACTATTATGCATTTTAGTAGTATAGTTACATCTTGATTTTGATTGGTTAATAGACTGTGTATTTTTCCTTCAATTTTTACGTTTTTTCTTCGTTCTGCACAACTATGCATTATTGTTAACGATCTCTGTTTGAGTATGGATAAAATTCGTTCTTCTCTGTGATATTTGCCAAAATAAATATTGCTTTTTATCCTCGAGATCCTATCAGAATCATTTGGAATGATACTTTATCTACATTTTAATCCAACATGATTAATAAAACATTATTGATAGAAGTAATCCGAACACACGGATAATAAAAATGTCAGAGTACAGCACGACAGAGAATGTAATTTATCTAAAAAGTAGATTAAATATTCGGTGTCATTAATGAACACATACTCCTCCAAACATTATATACATCTGTTCAAAAACCATTTGTATATGGCGCCTACGATTCCTAGTTGAAATGATAAGGTAAAGTATATTCTGATTACGACGATTTCACAAAGTGAGAGCTCAGAAGCCAAAAAGAATGACGACAAGACGAAATTGGTTGATCATCACAGCATTTATATCGCAGTGACTATCTTACCGAAACTACGAATTTTGTTTACGGTGATTCGATTCAATATGTCCCTTTATATATAATCCATTTATCATACTTCCATGATATGACACTTGCTAATTACTTAATTGTATTTTAAAATGGAATGCAAAACAGGAGATGCTTACCTAGTCTTATTTAGTTTACATGTCATATAGCAGCGACTGTTCTTACTCAAATGTATGTCATATTAAGAATGAGAAAAAATTAATATCTAGGAAGATGGATAGACTTTGAGCTGGCTACGCCCGGAAAGAAGACTATTTTTATTAGGGAATAGAAATTTAAAAACTAGTACAAAGTTGTCATGTAGAGGTAAAACGAATAATAAGACCTAGGCGGCAGAGTAATTGTTTTCTTCTTGTAAGAAGAAATGATGCAACGATTAGTTGAATAAATGCTAAAATGTTATTTATTATAAATCAATCGCTGGCATGTGTCTATTGGGCTACGATATTTCATACTTAAATCATCAAGTGAGTATGAAACTCATTAAGTTATTGAATTATAAATGACGAACGACAACAATAAATTGTCTAACAATCGCTATCGTCTTATGTCAAACTGTAGAACACATTTAAATTCATTTTACGATTACTGACGAATCCAGATAACAATACAAAACGAATTTAATTTCAACTAATTAAGATAAGAAAGCAGTCCGTTTATATTACATAAGGTAGGCATTTTATTACTCTTTGTGGAAATTTTACAATTCTAATATGACGTCTTACGAACGCTTTTGGTCCATACCTGTGGTAAAATACGAATATTATTATTTTAGGTCATCAGCAAAGTCACAATTTGTTTAGACTGTTCCAATTTACTTCCGTAGTCAGTTATGAACAAACACGGAAACATAAACACAATATATGATACGAATGGTTGAAAGCACTATTTCTTAAATTAACACCAGATTTATTAAATACGTCCAGTAAGAAAGGTAGTAATCTATTTACACAAATATTTGTTGGAACATGCTAGCGGTACTACTGAGTGCCACCTCAATTTCACATTGGAACATCAAAAGTAATCGAAGAGGAAAGTTTTCAAATTCTGAACTACGAAAAGCCTTACGAACATCCAGGCCGCCTGTTATTGAAAATCAATTAATATGAATAAGAAGATGTGGTATGATTGCCAATGAAGCAACTCTCCAATCCAAGTCACAATGTATAAAAAGTTAACAATTATAGGTTAAAGTATGGCCTTCATCACGGTCATTACAACATAAAAAGACACACTATAAAATATCAATTGAATGGCTTAACTCGATCAAAAAGAAGCATGTCACTTATTCAGGTTTCTTTGCCTTTTACGTCAATATGTGTAGTGTGTTCAATTACAGGAACGGCAAACATTTTTTCTTGATCTAAAGCGCTTGATTCGTATTTTAGGCTCACCTGGCCCAAAGAGCTAAGTGAGCTTTTCTAATCACTTGGCACCTTTCGTCCGTCGTCGTTAACTTTTACAAAAATCTTCTCCTCTGAAACTAGCGGGCCAAATTTAACCAAACTTATTTGTCATTTCGGGGTCATTTATAGCTGACTATGTGGTATTGGCTTTACTCATTGTTGAAGGCCGTACGGTGACCTATAGTTGTTAATTTCTGTGTCATTTTGGTGTCTTCTGGAGAGTTGTCTCATCGGCAATCATACCATACCTTCTTATTTTTATATTGGCCATAACCATCATTAGGGTATCTAGTTAATATAGGACGTGTCCGATGACTCCAACTGCAAACCAACATGGCCGACATGGCTAAAAATAGAACATACGGGTAAAATGCAAGTTTAGACTATTATCTTAAAAACAGCTATTTATAGAGAATATCTGATAAGGCAAAAATGTCCAAAATGAAGAGATCTACATATAATAGTCCATTAAATCAAACTATCAGACGAAGTCGAATAGAGTAATTGCCCTTCAATGTGGAATATTACCATTTTTTCTCTCTCCATTTTTGCCTATTATCTTGAAAATAGCGAGAGAGAAACGTTGAAAGCAAAAATAATCAGCAAGACAAGATCTACTAATAAGTCAACATGGTGGAATTCGTCAGACGACGCCTGATCGGAGTTATTGCCCTTTAATGACAATTCTTGTATTAGTTTTGCGTTTTTTGTGAAAAATATCTAAAAAAAATTATAATAGATAGATATAAACTTAAATTAGCAAAAACGATAAGCAAGACAAGATCTACAAATAAGTCTACAGTCCAAAAACGTCACTTCACTGTTTGTTCGAGTTCTTGCTCTTTAATGACGATCTATACCAATATTTTACGTTTACGCCTATTATCTTGTAAACTACGAAAGATAGATAGACACTTTAAATAGCAAAAATGATCAGCAAGACAATTTTTACAAATAACTCAAATTTTGCCGAAATCGTCAGTAAAC